CTTTTTTGTTCCGTACGTTTTGCTGTTACTCACTTTTTACTCTCACTTCAGAGAGTATTTTGCTGTTTGACCTTTTTCCTGGATTTTACACGAAAAGTATTGGATCAGAGCTAATATATCATCCATACATATGCATATTATACATACATATATTCATGTACTTATGTTCATCAGTTATCAACGGTCCCAGTTAAAATGATTTCAGTATTTTGTTCAAATTTCGCCTTGCTTTTTTATCAAAATAGACTACTAAACCTATGCCTAGAACCATCTACGAATATCAAAACCAGGGCATGAATCACGTATGACGACAATCGTCTGAACGATATCGTGTCGAGATTGTCTTGCTTCATAAAAATCAATTGTTTGATCGTTTGTGCGATATCGTCAACTCGATTCCAGTTTTGCTTCACGTAACGCGTAAAAGCAACACAAATGCATAAATCAGTGTTTTGACAACATCGTTTTGTCAGTATCGTTTGAACGACTATCGTTTCAAAGTTACGTGATTCATGCCCGGTTGCAACAAATGAGTCCATACATATTTATGTACATACATAGGTTCAAAGCCGCATGCATGTGCGGAGTTTAAATAATCGGAAGTAATAATCAATTGTAGCGCATTTCCTCTTACTATGCATGTGACTAAATGTATGCAACCATTTACAATAGCAAGCAAACACAGGGTGCTTCTAATGAAAATAAAAATTTTATGCTGAAACTAGATCGCCCTCACCCGCTTCCCCGAGTGTATGAAATTTCTACGTGCTACATTGAGTAAAATTTATTTCAAGAAAACTCAATTAAAAACAGGAGGTTTAATATTTGTTTAACCATCTTCAAAATATTTTCAAACAAAAACTTTCTTAAACTTCTCACTTGTCATACTTTTTCAATTAACTTATTCCCTGAACTCAATTTGAGATTTTAAACACATGTAGTTTTGAAATGAAGCCCATTAAAAAATCATTACCAACCCATATTGTAATAATTCATTTAAATTATTGAATAGTTTGAATTTAACCTTTTTAACAGTTGGCAACCTTCTTAAACCTCTTTCGTCTGACACTCACATTCAAAATAATTTCGAATTTCGGCCGAACCGATTACTTTGAAATTTCGGACACCTGCTTCAGACGTCCCAAGGATGGTTATAGGCTGAAAAAATTTTGATATATAAAGGGGGCGTGGCACCTCTTATACAAACCGATGTGTCCTTACTGTATATCTCTGGAAGTGTTCATGATAGAATACGGGAACTTGGTATGGCAATATATGAAATCAATCTTTTAGTCATGGAGAAAAATGGTGGGTGAAATCCTTCTAAATTCCCGGACCGATTTTAACGAATTTTTTTGTGTACTTTTGAGTGTAATTTCACAATTTCACCAGCAAGTTGGCGCCGGAGTTAAATTATTACTAATCTTATTATACTAATCTTATTTATGATCCACTTTGGCATATATTCAAAATATGTATTGGCAATACTATTGCACAAAAGGCTGCCAAGTGGCGCTGGAGTCATTACGAATAATCGCCAAGTTAGAAAAGGTGCCGTGGATGTCAGATTATATCGACCTGTTGCACCAATGAGTATATCGAACTCTTGTGTGTTACAATTGGCCCAAGGGATGTGATTTACCAGTATTACTATGCGTTAAAGCTTCATTCCGAGACACCAGGGCTCAGTTGTGCAGGGGTAAATCTCAAACCACCACCGATAAATCAACCGCCAGAACCATTACGCGCCTTTTACTGTAATATTTAATTTGGAATAATTGAATTTAATTTCTAAAAAGGTGGCAACCCTTGCGAAAGACTTCAATATTATTCAAAACTTTTAAACTAAAGGTTTCTTAACAATATTTCGTTAGACAACCATATTTTAATTCTTAGGATAGCTTGCGTATAATCAATTTAAATTTAACTTTTCAAACAGGTGGCAACCCTTTTCAAAATATATTCAAACTACAGCTTTTTTAATCCTCTTGACATCCATTTTTTTTAATATAATTTTCAAATAAACAACTCCTAAACTACAGTTGAATTTGATTTTTTTAAAAAGTGGCAGCTCTCATCCATGGGTAGGTAATGATTTTATATATCTCCCTACCAAGTTCCAGGAATCTATCACAAAAATTTTCTGAGCAATGCAGTATGACATATTCCGTTTGTATGGGAGGTGCCACGCCCCCTTGTCTAATCGAGATTAAATGTATCCTATATTTTAAGTTGGGCTAAATGACAGCTAAATGACAGCAGTTATTTCATGATGATCGGTTGAGTAGTTAAAGCGTGAAAGCGTATCAAACAAACAAACTCACTTTCGGATTTACATATAATATTAGTAAGGATACACATGCTAAGCCCTTCGAAATTTTGTGCTGGGATATGCGTTACAGGTTCGCAAATTTTACCCCTACCGAAACCAAAGATGTATACACATCAAAAATAGCATTTGGTAATGCCACACATTCCTTCGGCCAGGTCTGCAGAACGCATACCGTTTACTTCGTAAAAGCCGGAAATAAAATAAAGTTTCAAAGTATCCTATTGCTCAACTATTCTTAACACAACGCTCTCTAGTGAAAGCCATCGTGTTGAGATATGCCCAAGATTTTGTGGGGTTTTACCGAACAGTAGTCTTGAAATTCCTTCAGTTCATGTATCCTCTTTGGACTGTGGGAAAATAAACTATATAAATATGTTGCGGCACAGTGTCTCAATGCTTTTCGGCAATTTTTTACAAGCGTAGCTTGAGCAAAGGTAAAGGGAGTGGCATGTGCACTTTATATAAAAGAAATCGGTTTCTGCACTCAATAATGTTTTCAGCCCGCCCAAGTCTCCAGCCATAACATTGGCTCCATCAGTGGCCAAACTAATTAGGTTTCTCATTTTTAAAGGCAGGATTGGTAAATGTTTAAAAGGTACAATGGCAAATATTTATATGCAAAATGATGTTTCAAATATATATTTTTATAATTGAAAATTTAAAAATTGAATTCAACTATCCGACCAAAATCTTACTTTGCGTACCAACCTACCAAATCAAAAACAAGCGACCAAGATAATTAACTTCAAATAGTTTCAAAAAGTATAGTGTAAAACGAAATTTATTGAATAATTCCACATAAAATGGTATACATAAATGACTCATTTTCTAAACGATTTAAATAAAACGCATTTCATAACCTTTTTTGAGCAAACGACATTTCCGAATTGGTAGAAAAGTACTACGAATTTTAAATTTTTGTTAACTATGAGGTGAATGAAAATTTTCAACCCGGCCTGACGGTTTTGAAGAATTTTTTTGTTCTAATTTTATTACTAATGCCGAATTTCCACTAGGCATTGAAATGACAAAAAATGTATGCCAATTAAAAAAATGCCATGTGGAAATTAACTTAATGACTATGTTTTTAATGTCATGACACGATTATTTTTTAATGCCCGACTTTGTCATTTGTCATTTTTGCCATTGAATGCCTAGTGGAAATCCAGCATAAGGCGTCTAATAAATGCATAACTTTCAGTTCTAGAAAAATAAAAGTCAGTAAAGACAAGTCTTTTTTGTATAATTTCTGATTTTAATTGCTCAACTTCTTTTGCACCAGAGCAACTGTCAAAAATTTCCAGCAGTAAAAAGTTACGAATTGGCACAGCAGAAATGTAAAATTTTCTCGCCATAATAAAAAGTTTTTTCAACATGGAACTTTTCTACTAATTGACATGAAATTACTATCTCAACGCTCGGAGCGCTGCCACTGAGGGCCTTTGCCAACTGATAAAAAAGAGAAAATTTGGAAAGACCAAACAAAAATTTTGAGATTTCTCGTTGTGAATACGAATGCCATAGTTTTTACCTAGCTCGTGGGACTACGCAAAATTTTGACAGCTTGTAAATATGTATACACATAAAGTTGTTGGCGGTAATAAAGAGTCAAACTCAAAATGGGGAAAAGAACAAAAAGCGTACGTTAGTTGTCAGTTGGCAGCTCGCACGTTGTCTAAATTCTCAAATAACATAAAATCCACAAAAGAAACATTGCTTGTATTACCATCAATACGCCATGTATAAATTTTAACAACATACAAAAATAGAGCTATCGCACGAGCGTTTGTTTGGTTTTTCAACACCATTTATAGTTTTCTTTTAATAAAATCACGATTTGTCAAATGCTTAAATTTATTTATCTCATAATAATGCAGCACACAACCCTGAAATCTAAGAAAAAGTCTGAGGAAGGCCATTAAATAGCAGCACACAACCCCGTGCCTTCCTCAGGAGTGAATATAACTACAACAACAACGACTACTACAACAACAACCCAAAAAGGTTGGTTACTGTCTATACTGTGATTCGAACCCTTCCCATCTTTGGATATCAACAAATTGTGGCATGCATCTTTGCGCACTCAGCTACACCCAGGCATATAAATTTGCTTTCAAATGTTGAATATCCATCAACACCACAGCACGCGATTTGTACGGATAAACATGTACTATGTATGAATGTGAGTGTTGTCACCGCTCTCAGAGCGGCGCTTTGCATGCTTGGGGTGCGTATGTACACTCATATACATACTCAGACATCGGCGTAGCCAGAATGAAATTTTAGGGGGGGAGGGGGCGGGGTGCTCGACCCTATTAAGCTGGCATTTCAGGGTACTATTTTATATATATATAAGGAAAATTTTAAAGTTAGGGGGGGGGCGGGCAGCGGGGGGCTCGAGCACCCCCTGCCCCTACCTGGCTATGCCCATCTATTCAGATGTGAACAGTCAAATACGTGCGTAATAAATTTTGTATGAAAATATTATTTTTAAATACGAACATTTTTAAATGATAATCAAATATAAAGTATTCATTTTTACTATGCATTATTTCCCTCAGTGTATGTATGTATACCTAACACAGATATGTAGGCATACGGGTACAGAATTCTTCATCACCATTTCCAAATTAAATTTTATTGTTGATCTTGATTTATATGGACAAACCTGTAATATCCGCTTAGGAAGATTACGATCATCCTCTTCAGTGATTTGTGTGCGATATGTTTGGCGATCGAATGACGGTGGATTGTCGTTGACATCACGTACATTGATTATTACGGTGGTGTAGTTAGTTTTGCTATTGAGCGACGCTTCCAAACGGAGTTCATACTAAGAATGAAAGAAAAAAGTTGATTGAAAGAGAGCAAAAAAAGGTAGTTACATACACACACATACATATATAGTTATTTAAAATGAACTCAGATCAAAAGCATTATGGACGGTTAGTTAAATGTTTCAAACTTTTTCCGAAAATATTATGAGATTTTATTTAAAATTAAGGCAAATTCTCGCTATGGCCAAACATTAAAATAAAATACTTTTTTTGAAATAGTTATCAAATAAAAGCCGTATCAAATACTTATTTAAACACGTAAAATTCTAAAATAAAAAACTTTTGCCGATTAGGCAATTATGTAAAGAAAATAGTTGGCGTTACGTTCGTGTTACTGTAATAATTTTAGTCATTCGCTATACTCTGACGGGAGCAAATAATTTGGTATATCCCTTAATAGGAGGTGGAGTTGGAACTCCCACGTAATGAAAGATGTTAGTATTTTGGTGACCAACAAGTTACAAAAAAGATCAGTCCAATGCCTTCATTTTGAACTGCAGGCTGTGACGGAGCTACAGAAGCTTTATTTAATTTAATAAGTCAGAACAAATACAAAATATTAGTAAACGGAGTGTGCCTGCACCAAGCTACTCCGATAAACATTTAGTTTGTTTCGTACTGCAGAAACTTGTAGAAATTTGTACTACTCTTAGCTTGCAGCCATTGTGGTGTAGTGTTTAGCAGTGCGCGCTACCATTTCGCAGGGCCTGGGTTCATGCCCAGTTTCCGACTCACATCAAAAAATTTTAAACAAACAAGATTTTCTAATAGCGGTCGCCCCTCAGCAGGCAATGGCGAACCTCCGAATAAATGTATGCCATGAAAAACAGCAAATTTTTTGATTTAGCATTAATTAACTCGAAATTAAGAAACAAATTATAATTTAAAACTTTAAATAATATAATGTTAATAATATTCAATTGTAATGCACTTTGGATGCAATATAAGAAAAAAACGCTATAAAAATTGAATTGGCAAATTTTCTTGACAAAGAGGAATAAATTCCACTCAATTTCACGATGTAATAAAAATTGGTAAATTTTTTACCATTTGGTCAATTTTTTGGTCCGAAAAATAAATTGGAAATGGCAACCGTGCTTATAATACAATAGCCCTCGCAGTCGGCGTAAAACTGTAGGTCCCTCCTTTTTGTGTGACAACATCAAGGCGCACGGCACAAATCTGAGGAGAAGCTCGGCCAAACACTAACAAATTGCGTTATCGCCAATCTATTATTATTAGCTTGCAGGCCAACCTAATATTCGCGGCTTGCGTTTTGGTACGTACGCTGACGAACTTGTTTTTTTTGCTTCCCCGAAATTGGCTTGCGTGCGTTTGCATTTGATTTCATTGCGCGAAACATCAAATCAAAATGTCACGCAGAACAAAATTGGAAATTTAGTTAGCTTCATACGCACGCCATTCAATTTTGGTTGGTCCCATACAAGTTGTATGCCCTACAAGAACAGTGATAGTCATTTGATTGATCATGTGATACTCACTGGTCATGGAGATCTCAATCAAGTACTTCTATCAACTTTTTAAGAGCAATATGCAAAACGTGATGTAAACATTTGTGTACATGGCATCCTTCGTATTCCTCCGACTTATGGCCTTATTTAGTGGTCTCTTTTTAACCGACGCAAAATTTGCAAATGTGTTAGTAAAATAAATGAGAATGTGTTAGTTTCCATCACACAATTCTTGTAGGGTGTGCATGAGAAATTTTTGACAGTAAATTGGTGGCGTGCGTGGATATTAGTTTAGCCTAGGGATGGGCGGCAGAACAGCTCGCGTGCAACAGCGCGGGCAAGCAGGTGCTTGTTGCGGGGTAAAAATTTAAAACCGAAAGGGTAAGCAATAGCCGTGTACGTGTATTAACCCATTTTATACAATGTATATTGCCAAAGGCTATGCTATTCACCTCTTTGTTTATAGATTTCTAACTATATTTGTAGTCTATTAAAACTAATTGAGAATCATGAAATGCCGCCCAATTTAATTTTTTTTATTAATAAATCAACAAAGTTTAAATTGATTATACATATTAAAAAAAATAGTATGTTCTAATTCATACTGGCGAACAGAGTGTCCAGATTTGGCGATTTCGCGCCAATTTGGCGATTTTTTTTAGATATTTGCGCGTAAAAATTTAGGAAATCGCCGTTGGCGATTTTTTCCCATCAAATAAATTTTTTCCAATTATAAAAATATACAAAACTTTGTTTTCCACTAAAAATTTTACAGAAAAGGCTAATGAACTGCGTGATAAACTTAATAAGCATATTAAAAGACTGTTAAAAATGTTTAGTCACCCTAATCGAAGAACTTTTCAAACAATTACCTACTCAATTAAATACTTTTAAAAAAGCTTTGATTTTGTCACCATAAAAGTGTGGGAATCGCAAGAGGGCGAGTTTCAGTTTGAAGGAAAGAAAAGCAGCAGAAACTGAATATTTAAATCTTTTAACTTTCCCATGGAATAACTTTTCTCAGAACCATTCCATCCGACTCTAAAGAATTTTTGATAATAGCTTACGGAGTGAAAACCGCAACAGGCAGTAAAATGTTTGGAAATATAAGTAAATGAATGAATGAATAACGTAAATGAATTCTATTCGAAATAGCAAGAGGTTGGAAAACCTTAATTCCATAGTTCGAATAAAGTGTCATATGAAGGCTAATAGTTTCTGCTGCTAATAGTTTCTGTTATCAAGTTTGAATAGCTCAATATATGACAACAGAAATGTAAATTCAGACACCACAGGTGATTTTCAAAAATTTGTGGAAATAGCTGATCTCGCCTTATTATGGGGTTTTATTTTATTTGTATCACCTAGCTCTATGCGTATTTTTAAAGAAAATTGTTTGTACATCACTATTATATAAGTGATTTGTGTTATTTATTATTACCCTCTGAAGGTATTATATTCGTTTTTGGTTTTAAAAACTATATTATAACAAGATCTAATTTTTTAAATAAAAGATTTGTTAAATCCATTTCATGAATTTTATTTAAAAAAATGGCGATTTTTGGCGATTTTTTTTCTGAATTTGCGCTTTTTATTTAAACAATCTCGACACCCTGCTGGCGAACAATAACGTGTTAACGATCTTGCTTGGCCATTTGTTCGTAAATAAGAGAGCCGAGCGCTGCTACTAGGCTCAGTCCAAGATCTATGCATAGAAGGTCGCGCAATCCGCGAAATAGAAATTGCCTCTCTGCCGAAAAAGCCACAAAACTTGATTTTTCACAGCGGCCAATTTTAGCGAAATATTCATTTAAACTCGCTATAGCACAGACGTTTATGATTCGATTGATTTAAAATTTGTACACAATACACTAGATTCTATTCTGAAGAAGATGAGTTTAACTGCACTTCTTAATACTTATTTAAAACGAAATGGCGGACATTGTAAGATTTTTATAAAAATTAGGGAGGCGGTTTTTACAAATGCAAAAGTTATGTTATGAAGTTTAAAATTTTTGTTTTGTTTTAATGCAGCATTAAAGACAAATACATACGGACATTTTCGGGAAAGTTTCAGATTTAGACAANGCACTTGTACAAGTAATTTTGGAAGTAATATTAAGTGAAATGTTGAAATTCATAAATTTATCAGTGTAATATAACTTATTAAAGCTCTACATACCTACATATGTATGCATATACATATATAATTACACACATAGTCAAAATATTTTTTCGTACAATGATTGTTTTACAATATTCGCAATGTTTTTAATTTTTCGATAATTTTTCACGAAAATACTGTTCATATTTTAACAAAACCATATAAATGAAATTTTCAAACTTTTTGCAAAACTTAAAAAAAAATTATACAAACTTTCATCAAAATTTTGAACGACGGAAGAGCGAACTTGAATTAGCAGGACATTTAATGGCAATGTGCTTGCCATCAATTGCACCAACGCAGTTAGGAATATTCCATAACTCAAGGAACTCCTTAGCAATATCTTTGTACTGCGATTCTGTTGGTTCGCTCACGCAAATTGGAGAAAGCAACTGCCAGATTATTTCACATATTTCTAATACAATATTGCGCACTGTTGTTTTGCCTAACTTGTAACTCCAAGCGATGCTCTGAATTGATACTCCTTGTGACAAATATCTAAAGATGAAATAGCCAACTACTGTGTATTTTATATGTATATGTATTGACAAATTATAACGTACTTACAGCAAAACCAAAGAAAGTCTTTCTTCAGAATCTATCCGCTGTTTTGGTTTCCGTAAGGAGTTGCCGACTAGGTTTAGCAGTAGGTCAAATACAGGCGGGGGCATTCGTGTATGTAAAAACACTTGTTCTGCATCCATAGACCTCATTCGCCGAAAAACTTGGCGCTGATAGCCGCTTGCTGCCCAATTTTGATTTAATGGGCGAACTCCGTACCTCCTGTTCCTTTTTTTGTGTTTGTATTCTTTATACAATCTGTATAATTCACACAAATTTAAAAATAATTCGTCGATTTCCACACTTTCTGCTTCCATCATGCTACCGCTGTTGTTTACCAAAATATGTGAAAANAAAATAATTCGTCGATTTCCACACTTTCTGCTTCCATCATGCTACCGCTGTTGTTTACCAAAATATGTGAAAAGAAAACAGAACACAAAGAAAAATACAAAAGAGAACAGCTGATTCCTGCGTTCATTCTACGGTGGTGAGTTTTTGCAACTATGTGTTTCTACGCATTTCTACGCTACGCTAGGTACACGTTCTTGGGTAACTGCGCTTTAAGTCTCTAGGCATAAGTTGAAGAAGGGGACAAGAGAAAAACGATTTTTGTACTTTTCGGGTACCGCTAATTAAATGGAGAATAATTGCAAACACAATTTCGTGTGTTATGCTTCTGTGTCGTGGTTATATGCGAGTATGTACATATGTATGTCGAAGCAAGTGGGAAATGAACAAACGGGTGTCCGGTATGTAACTATGTACTTGTTTAATATACGTGCGTGACTTAGTGAAT